TTCCTTTCTTGAGGAACTTTTAGGTTTTTTCTGTGCTAATAATTGCTTTCCTTTTTCACAAGCTTTGTGTGTGTGTGTGTGTGTGTGTGTGCCCATCACTAATTCAGTTCCAAACTTTCTGAAAGAATGGTAAAAAAATTTTTTTTTGTTTGCAAAGACAACAAAAGCAAAAATAAATAAGGGGGACTAAATTCGTTCCTTCACAGCAAAGAAAATCATTAACAAAATGAAAAGACGACCTACTGAATGGGAGAAAGTATTTGCAAATCATAAATCTGATGAGAGATTAACATCTAAAATATATAAAGAATTAATATAACTCAACAGCAAAACACCCCCATATAATCTGATTTAAAAATGGGCAGAGGATCTGAATAGGCACTTTTCCAAAGAAGATATACAGATGGGCAACAGGTACATGAAAAGATGCTCAACATCACTAATCATCAGGCAAATGTAAATAAAAAACAATGAGAGGGACTTCCCTGGTGGCGCAGTGGTTAAGAATCCTCCTGCCCATGCAGGGGACACGGGTTCGAGCCCTGCTCCGAGAAGATCCCACACGCTGTGGAGCAACTGAGCCCGTGCGCTACAACTACTGAGCCTGCGCGCTGCAGACCGTGAGCCGCAACTACTGAGCCCGTGTGCTCCACAAGAGAAGCCACCGCAATGAGAAGCCCGCGCACTGCAAAGAAAAGTAGCCCCTGCTCGCCGCAACTAGAGAAAGCCCGCGCGCAGCAACGAAGACCCAATGCAGCCAAAAAAAAAAAAGAGAGAGATATCACCTCACACCTGTTAGAATGGCTATTAAAAAAAAAGACTCGAAAAACAAGTGTTGGCGAAGATGTGGAGAAAAGGGAGCCTGTTGCACTGTTGCTAGATATGTAAAGAGCTGCAGCCACTATGGAAATCAATGTGGAGGTTTCTCAAAAAATTAAAAATAGAACTACCATATGATCTAGCAATTCCACCTCTGGGTATTTATATAAAAAACAACAAAAACAGGGCTTCCCTGGTGGCGCAGTGGTTGAGAGTCCGCCTGCCGATGCAGGGGACACGGGTTCGTGCCCTGGTCCGGGAAGATCCCACGTGCCGCGGAGCGGCTGGGCCCGTGAGCCATGGCCGCTGAGCCTGCGCGTCCAGAGCCTGTTGCTCCGCAACGGGAGAGGCCACAGCAGTGAGAGGCCCGCGTACCGCAAAACAAAACAAAACACTAATTCACAAAGATATATTCACCCTCCCCATGTTTACTGCAGCATTATTTACAATAGGCACAATATGGAAAGAAACTAAGTGTACACAAATGGATGAATGGATGGATAAAGAGAATGTGATACATATAGATATGAGTCAGCCATAAGAAGAACGAAATCTTGCCAACTGCAATGACACGAATAGACTTTGAGGGCATTATGCTAAGTGAAGGAAGTCAGAGAAACAAATACTGTAAGATCTCACTTACACGCAGACTCTTAAAAAACAAACCCAAGTTCATTGACAGAACAGATCACAGTTGCCAGAGGTGAGGAGGGGGTGGGGATGGATGAAGTGAGTCAACAGGTACAAACTCCGGTTATAAAATAAGTCATGAGGATGCACTGTACAGCACGGTGGCTATATAACCTGGTATTAGTTTCAGGTATATAACATAATGATTCGATATTTGTATATATTTTGAAGTGATCACCACAATAATTTATTTACCTAAACTTTCATTGAACTATTTATTTCTATCTTATTCTTAACTTCCAAGACCTCTTGTTCATTCTCTGATTATCACTTTAACAGAGCACTTGATTCTTATTTTGTGAATAAAACAAAACATTCCACGAACTAAGACATTAATTATAGTTTTAAAGTGTGTCTGTTTCTCCCAAATGCCTTTTCTATTGTTCTTCTTCTTGCTAAGGCCCTTTATAATAGAGATTCTCGGGCTTCCCCGGTGGCGCAGTGGTTGAGAGTCCGCCTGCCGATGCAGGGGACACGGGTTCGCGCCCCGGTCCGGGAAGATCCCACATGACGCGGAGCAGCTGGGCCCGTGAGCCATGGCCGCTGAGCCTGCGCGTCGCGTCCGGAGCCTGTGCTCCGCAACGGGAGAGGCCACAGCAGTGAGAGGCCCGCGTACCTCAAAAAATATATATATATAATAGAGATTCTCCTGAAATGTCTAGGGATTCTGGTTCTCCTTTTAGAGTAAGACAGCTCTGTGTAGATGGATGAGCCTTGCTAATGTTTAACGAGTAGAACCCAGACATTTCGGGGAGGCAGGGAACCTATCAGATCTATTGGCATTTCTCTTAGGTTGAATGGCTTCCTTAGAGTGGATTCTTCCAAATCTGGACTACAGGAGTGTGAAAGCTTGGAGAGGTAATGAGGCCAAGGGTGTCCCCACTTAGTACACAGCCCTATCTTCTGTCATCTTATGAACTAAAGCCCAGAGTTCACCTTCTCCCATGTTCCACCAGGTAGGGAAGGGCAGCGTCTGGCTCTGTAAAGTTGAAGAAAGGATCTGGGGACACAGCTATAATCCTTCTATTCAAATCTACCTCCCAGCCATCAGAGGTACCCAGCACCTCCAATTCCTGAGTCTCTGGGGTTCTGAGGTGTGACTAGGCTATATTCTTCTGCCCTTCCCACCACTTCCCATCATATATAGAAGGTTGGGTCTCAGCCTCATCCAGTTTGCTATGTCAGTTACCATTCATCCATCCTCTTTCCATCTTCCAAAACTCTGTGGGTGTTTCTTCCCTGCTGTGGGAGCCTAACCTGTTTTTGTCCCTCATAGGCTGTCACCCTCTGTAGTCCTTTACTATCATCTTAGTAAAGTTTCCGGAGGGACGAAATCTAAGTGGTGTATTCCAGCAGTCCCCAAACATTTTGGCACCAGAGACCGGTTTCCCGGAAGACAATTTTTCCATGGGCGCGGGGTTGGGGGGGAAGGGGATGGGTCCAGGCGGTAATGGGAGCGACGGGGAGTGGCAGATGAAGCTTCACTCACTCGTCCACTGCTCACCTCCTGCTGTGCGGCCTGGTTCCTAACAGGCCACGGACCAGTACTGGTCCGCAGCCTGAGGGTTGGGGACCCCTGGTATATTCAAGCCACCATGCTACACTATAGAGCACTACAGAGCTGTGTATTCCTCCCTGGGTGTGCCATGTTTTTATCTGCATCCCCAGCTCTGCTCTTGCTATTCCCCTTCCTACTTGTCTTTATCTGTCTCCTCTCTTTAATTTTCTAATCCTTAATGGGCCTTCAAGATTAAGCTTATGCATCATCTCAAGCAGGAAAACCTTCCCAGATTCTCCTTGTACATACTGTGTATGTCTCTGGCCTGACACACCCACATAGACTACAACGTGCTGGATTGATCTGCTTGCACATCTGTCTCCCTCCCCAGACAAGAGCATGTAGGCAAGGACTATCTTATCCAATGTTCTGCCTCTAGTGTGGGGAAAACCATCTGGTACATAACATGTGCTCACTGATATTGTTCAACTGACCCATTTCCACTAAGCTCCATGTTGGAAGCATCTTCATTCTCACAGGACTACAAAAATAACAGCTCTGTTTATTTGCCAACATCCAAATAAGAAAGGCTAATCAGAGAGCACCAGGAAATGAAAACAGCCAGATGTTTTTGAGAGCAAAAGTCCAGGAACACAAAATAGCTTCCAACAGGGGTGATGTATGTTTTCCTAGTGATTCAAAATGAATATATGCTTATTAGGCAGAGAGAGAGATTTAACAGTTTTCTCAGCTAATGCTGCAATTTTAAATTCATTTACGGTAATTTTCCTTATCTTGAATCTACTTTTCTCAGTAACCAGGATACTTAACTGATCTGTACAAAATCCATTTGAAAAAGAAATAATCTACTCTAAGCAAGGGCACACTGCAAATGAAAGAGAGACACCACAGATCTAACAGAAGATGAAGCATCTGTTTGAAAAGCCAAGGAGGACTACTGCCTAGAACATAGGATGTTTTCCCCCAGCATCTTGATTTTCCCACCAATCTCTCTTCTCTCTTTCACAAGGAGAAAACAAATAATTCTTAAATCTGAGAGCACAGAACAAAGACCTCTCATAAACCAACCAAGATGCAAACAAACTGTTTCAAAGGTAAGAATCTCAAACAAAAATTATAAGTTGAAACAATCACAGGATGTACTCTTTCACCTACCAGCTGGGAAAAGCATTATTTAAATGCTAGTACCCAGTTTGGGAAGGGTCTAGTAAAATTCCAATAGGAGGAGAAACCTCTACAAACTTTCTGGAGGAAAATATCACTATATGTATCTAGAGCCTCCAAAAGTATCCCCACAATGTGATCTAAGGATTACACCTTTAGAAGTGTGGATTAAGAAAGTAAATATCAAATCAATATACATAAAGATCTGAGTGGGGAGATATCCATCCAAGTGTTATTTATAATAATGAAAATTTTTAATAAATTTTTTATCAATTTTTATTTATAAAAATGAAATTTTATTTTATAAAAATTATATTTATAATATTATAAATATTTCATATTTATAATAATGAAAATCTGGAAATAATCTGAATTTCTAACAATGAAAATAATGATCATAACTAATAACATCAGAAAATGCTCATGAAATAATAAATGAAAAAAAGGATAAATGAAACACATCACATGCTCATAATCTGTATAGAAAAGAGACTCAAAGACAAAATGCTAGTATTTTACCAGTCACCACCTCTAGGTAATGAGATCATGTTGATTTTTAAATTTTTACTTAAAAATTTTTTGTATCACGGACCTTTCTCTATGCTTCTGTATTATTTTATAAAAATTAAAAATTCTTATTTAGCTCTATTTATTTTCATAATCAATAGTACTATTTATTGATTATGGAGGAGACGAGATAAAAGCCCCTCCACTAGTTACAAGTAACACAAGAAAATGTCACAGACATGGGTCTATGCCCAACCATCTGATAAAGCAAGCTCCTCTGAATGACTGAATAAGAACTTACTTGGTGGGACGATAATCCGGAATGGAACGATCCAGTGAAATTTTTTCACTGAGGTAGGAATTGTAGCCATACTTCTCATGGGGTCCCTTGGCTTTCTCTTCTTCAGCCGGGGAAAGGGTAGCAGGAAGGCCCCCTTTGCCCCGCCCACCATAACCTTCAATGAGCCCAAGGGATTTAGATAAACCTAGAAAAAGGAGGGGGAGAAAAAGAATTATTTGAAAATCACCATACCAGGATATGCCACTCAGGCTCAGATATAGCTTCAGTGGAAATTTTAACATTACCCGTCGCAGAAAAAATTATGTTCTCAATTTATTGGTATCAGAATATGCCCTGAACACACTTCAATTGAGAGGAAGGTCAGAGCAGCTGTGAGGTGTGGGGTTAAGGCTGGTCACCCATGAAGAGCCTCTCCCTCCTTTTGGGAAATGGGGTGGACGGCAGGGGCGGTCTATAAAAGGGAGAGACTGCCAAAAGCAGGGGACATGTGGACCAAGAAAGACACACAAAATGGGACAGAACTCGGGCTGTCATCCCTGCCTGATTTCCTTTCTTCATGATCAATTACCACAAGGCTAGATATTCCAGGAGATGCCCAGTACAACACAGAGAAGGCAGCAATAAGGAACTTCCAGACTGCAGGTGTTTTTGCTTCATTTGAACAGAGAATAATATACAGATTGATTTTATCATGAGTTTAAAGTGTGTAGCCATCTGCCACCGTTCTATCCCTAATGGTTTTATTTAAATCTCATTTAAATGGCAAAAAGGAAATACAAAATGTTTGAGAATAAATCACAGAGAAGAAAAACCCATAAGAGTGATAACCGTGCCCAGTAGAGTAGAAGGCCTCTGTAACAAGCCTCATTGAGCAATTGCACGTTCCCAGGATGGTGGTAGCTTTATACCTATTGTTCCATTAAACGATAAACAGCTTGATGGGTAATTTTTAAATCCTACAGTTATGGGAGGTTTTACTTCTCGGCTTGAAAACTTTTGCTGTTAAGGGCTCTCATTCTCTTTTGCTATTTCAAACGCTCAAGCTACCCTGTTCACCGTCAGGCGTGTGCACACACACACACCCCACTTCCTGCCACGGGACCGTGGCAGAGATGTAAAAAGGAAGACCGTGGACCAGAGATGTAAAAAGCATCCTCAGCTTTCATGGAGGGCAGACCACAAAGCCTAGGAGGACCATAAACTCCCAGGAAGGCATCCTCAAGTAAGTCAAAGGCCAGTAAATGTGCTCCAGTCACAGGATGGTCCTCCACCCCATAATGGCAAGACCTGTATTCCATTTCCTGCTTCTCTGAAAATAAAAATTTATTTTCTGTGATATAAAATCAAAAAGGAAAGGTTCAGCAAGCATCTCAGGATTGGTCTCAAGTGAACATCATTTATCTACCTAAGAATCATTTCCACCGTCCATGGTGTTTTTCGGGAACCCTGACATCTTTTCTGCCCTCCACCAGCTCAACCAGAGGAACCATCAACTGAGAACTGGATTACTCCAACACTTCCTGGTCTTTAATCTCTCATGCCACATCACCGTGCACCAACCATTCCAATAACATCACCTTCACTGTGCTCCAAAATCTGTAAGGACTCGTCCCAGGTCAAGTACAGACACCTGTGCTGGATTTTAAACTCACTCCCAATAGGACATTACTAGTGGGAATGCACAATGGTGCAGCTACTTTGGAAAATACTTTGGCAGTTCTTCAAAATGCTAAGCGTAGTTTTACCATATGATCCAGCAGTTCCATTTTTTACCCTAGAGAAATGAAAAGATATGCCCACTTGAAAACTTGTACACAAATGTTCATAGAAGCATTATTCATATTAGCTGTGTCTATCAACTGATAAGTGAATAAAACAAAATGTGGTACATTCACACAATGTGATATTATTTGGCAATAAAAAACTATCTTTTTAAAAAAGTACAGATCTTCCTCAGCTTACAAAAGACTTACATCCCGATAAACCCATCGTAAGTTGAAAATATCATAAGTTGAAAATGCATTTAAAACATCTAACCTACCAAACGTCATAGCTTAGCCTAGCCTCCCTTAAACGTCCTCCGAACACTTACCTACAGTTGGGCAAACTCATTCTAACACAAAGCATGTTTTATAATAAAGAGTGTTGAATATCTCATGGAATTTATTGAATACTGTACTGAAAGTGTAAAACAGAATGGTTGCATGGGTACAGAATGGTTGTAAATGTGTTGGTTGTTTACCTTCATGTTACATGACTGACTGGGCGCTGTGGCTCGCTGCCACTGCCCAGCATCATAAGACAGTACCGTACTGCATATTGCTGGCTCAGGAAAAGATCAAAATTCAAAGTATGGTTTCTACTGAATGCTTATCACTTTTGTACCATCATAAAGTCAAAAAATCATAAATCGAACCACTGTAAGTCAGAGACTGTCTGTAGTGATATATACAACATGAGTGAACCTTGAAAACGTGCCAAAGAAATAATGCTGGACAGGAAAGACCACATACTGTATGGTTCTGTTTACCTGAAATGCATAGAATAGGCACATCTATAGAGATAGAAAGCAGATCTGTATCTGCTTAGGGTGGTGGGTATTTGGGGAGGGAATGGGGAGTGACTGCTAATGTGTATCGAGTGTCTTTTTGGGAGATGGAAATGTTCCGGAAATAGAGTGTGGTGATGTTTGCACAACTTTGTGAATATACCAAAAACCACTAAATTGTACACTTTCAGTGGATGAATGATATCATGTGAAAAAAATCTCAATAAAGCTATTTTTAAAAACCCACTTATGATAGACAATTCTATTCCCAGCAAAATTCTGTTCCCAGCAAAAAGGCTAAAACAACAGGAAAGCTTTCCAATAAACTACCTAGAAATTCTGAATGAAAACATTTTTAATACTGTAAATGCATAGCTGAGCTTGCAGTAAGTTAAAGGAAACACCCAGAGGTAAGTTATAATCAGAGTTGAGACTCTGTCTGCTGGGATGGGGTGAAGGATGCATTGCTCATTAACTAAAGGCTGGCGTTTTGGAGCTCAAACATGCACAGAATACGAGACCTTTTGTATGCGTTAAATGTTTCATAATTTCTAATTATGAAGGTACTGAGTTGATCAGTGGCCCCCTGTCTACTCTGAACCTATGAGTATGACCTTATTTGGAAATAGGGGTTTTGCACATGTAATCAAATTAATATAACTGGTGTACTCATATGAGAAAAATTTAGAGATAGAAACACAGATACACAGAGGGAAGGTCATTTGACAACAGATATTGAAGGATATAGCTGCAAGCCAAGCAATGCCCAGGATCGCTAACAACTCCCAGAAGCTAGGAAAAGGAAAGGGAGGATTACTTCCTAGACCCTTCAGAGAAAGCATGGCTTGGCCAACACCTTGATTCCAGAATTATAGCCTCAAACTGTGAGAGAAAAAATGTCTGTTGTTTTAAGCCATCAAGATTATGGTAATTGGTTATAGTAACTACACAAAATGAATACAATCAATATTAAAAAAACAGAGTGGAACTGGATAAAGAAAATATAGACCATGACAATATTAACCAAAAGAAAGCTGGAATCACTCTGTAAACATCAGAGAAAAACAGACTTCAGGGCAAACAGCCTTATGGGGATGAAGAACGTCGTTACATAATGATAAAAGTAACAATCCACCAGAAGCTCTTAGGAATTACAAACTACCAAGCACCTAACAACACAGCTTCAAATTACATAAAGCAAAAATGGACCACGTTATAAGAAGAAATGAACAAATCCACAATCATAGTGGGAAATATTAACATATCTCTCAGTACTGAACAGATAAGGACAAAAATTTAGCAAAGATACGGTAGAACTGAACAACAAAATTAAGAATGTTTGATCTAATGGACATTGTACCTGACTTTCTAATAATCGTACATTCTCTACAAGAGTATATGGAACATTTAAACAATTGACAGGCCACAAACAAGTCTCAACCTAGCTTACAGATCATCTTTGAACATAAAGCAATAAAAAACAGAAGCCAACAATAAAAATACCACAAAGCATTCACACATTTGGGCAGTTTTAAAAGACTTCTAAAACAAATGTGGGTCAAATAATTAATCATATTGCCATTAGAAGTTACACGAAACTAACAGAACATGAAACAGTACATCTCAAAGCTTGTAGGATCGTGCTAATGCAATACTTGGAAGTAACTATATAAATGCGTATATTAAGGGGGGGAAAGGAAGAACTGATAATAAGGTAAGCATGTAACCCAAGGAATTAGAAAAAAAAAAGAGAGGAAGCCCAAAGAAAGCCATAATAAACAAAAGAACAAAAACTAATGAAACAAAAGAAAGACATCAAGGAAGAAAGGAGTAACAGGGACGGATGGAGAGAGAGAGAGGAAGGAAGGAAGAAAGGAAGGAACGAAGGGAGGGAGGGAGGGAGGGAGGGAGGAAAGAGAGAGAGAGAAACTAAAAGAAAAAAAGATGGGTGGGAGGAAATAACCTCAGCAAGACTGGGGATAAAGAGAGAGAGAGAGAAGGTACATGGTCCCTTCAGGGAGGACTTATCTATTCATCACAGTAAACACAGTGCCTAGGTCCCCCAATATTTTTAAACGTTCAGGAAGATGTTTAAATTTCTTATAAAATCAGAAAGACAGTTATCAAATAAGATTTTTAATACTCTTTTTTAAATTGTTGTTTTATTGTTTTTCTGTGAAGGCCAAAGTGCTTAGGGCCCACAAGATTCATTATGCAGCCTTGGTTCCCTTGAGGTTAGATTTTATCTGTACGTGACAAGGTACCTAAAGCATGGAGAAGGAAAGTAACATGATCTGAGGCACAATTTACAATTTTTACCTAGAAGGTAGATAGCACAAGGACAGACCCCAGGCACTAACAGTAAGGCCAACTACCATTTATTGAGCATCTGTTGTGTGCTGGGAAGCACCCTGCTAAGTGCCTGACATATATTCTATCGCTGTTTCATCTAATCTTTTGAAAACCTCATGAGGAAGGTATGAAAATGATCTCTGTTTGACGAATAAGGACACTGAATCTGAGAACGTGGTAACTTTGTTAAGCTTCTGCAGCTGTTAAAGGAAGATGAGACCTGAGTTCTGGATATAGTTAGAGATACAAGGGAGGATAAAACCTGGTCTCTGTGACAGATAAGG